TTTTTTCGCGTTTTCTCTTTTACCATTGCACTATTGTAGGCCGTATCTAACAATTTTTTGTCAAATTTCGCCAAAAACAGGATACCCCAAAATTATCGTGAACTGTGCCTTTAACTGGACCTTCCCAAGAGATGTACCCACCTCGTTTGATAAAGTTCTGTGCTGATCCTGCGATTATGCACTTCGAATTCAACTGGATTATTGATATAGCACAAAATCGCATCGAAAATTGTGGTCATCACCTTTTCAATTCGACAAAACGACAGATTGTAGGCTGGAGCTACCTGAAAATCAAGTTGGGAGACGTTTCGGGGCTCTCACTCTCACTCGACTCTCACTCGGAATCGTAATGGCAATTGGGTAGGTGCTTAGGCGGTTGAATGGCTTGTGAAGACTATACGATGAGCGAATCCAACTTTCATCCCCTGGATTAGTTTAGCACCTATTAGGAGCAGCTCCAGAGGAGTAAAAGGCTCATGGAAGCGGATCCCAGGTACAAGCACTGATTCCCCGAGTTCAGGTGGTCCTATGCTGTCCAGACGGTTCAGCCTAAACTACTACCAACGAGAGCCAATTCTAAGGTACTACTGCCAGATGTGCTCTTACGGGGAGAGAGGAGTGCAAGGGACGGCTGAGTAGAAACAAAGACTCACCTGGTACTCTGCCCTGTAGCGAAAGAAGGGAGGCGCCAAATTGTCTCGGTTAAATGGACTGGTATCGTATATACCATTTCTCACTTGATCCACATTTTCTCCATGTGGCCCTAGATAACTGGTAATTTCTACAACAGGAAGGTATATGGACTTCGAATTATTCGATAAAGTGGATTAAACCCATGTAATACAATATTTTTACTCCCGAGGCTGGCGAGTTATAGACAAAATGTCGGCCTCGTACGGGACTCGAACCCGTACTTCTGCTATTAAGCACCGGGCTCTTGTTCATTACACTACCGAGACCCCGCTTACTTGTAGTGTAATGGGTAAGAGAACGGTGCCCTGATAGCACAAATACGGGTTCGAGTCCCGTCCGAAACCGAAGTCTTGTCCATAACTTGCCAACCTTGTGAGACTTTCGCATCGCGTACTGTGGCGAAAATCATCCAAGCAATATTTTTAATATTATATTTTTAACATTTTAAAATCATGAACCCACCTTTGCAACGAGCATGTCCTTCTGCAAAGGAGAATAAATGGGAAGGCAGGTAGTAGGCGTTCAATAAACATAGCAGAACGATAGATGCGAGCAGAAGAAATGAAAGTGAAATTACTACATAGGCCATAGTCAGTGGATTTGAGGGGGCCTGGGAACCTGGCAATATCAACTTTACAAGAAGGCATCTATATTTCAATTTTGAATTGTTCTACCCAATTTTCCGGCAGATCTGTGCAGTATGAACGAATTGACTTTTGTGAGCGCGAGAAAGACGTACGACCGTAAAAGTTCTCGATTTTGAGGTTTCCCTTTCTCATTTCTGAGTCGATGAACTCGTACCGTACGGACCTCATCAAGGGGTGGATGTTCTACTGTCGGGACCTCCCTTCCCTTCAGGACTCAGGAATTATTTCCCTTATGGGTTTGCTGTGAAATTTTTCGAGTTTTTCCACCCAAGCATTCGAAGCGAATATGAAGTCAGAATTTTACAGGCGGTTTTCCTGGAGTGTCTGGTCCAGAAGCGTCATTGAGGTCGAGTATGGGGAGAAATCGAAAAAGGTCATTCTCTGAGAACTGTACACCTACGAAGACATCTTTCATAACACCCATCCATCATATTTTTGAATAACAAATGAGTAATTGCCCAGTTGGGGTAAGTGGGAGAATTTTAGAAATTTTGGGAGAATTTGATGAAAGGAATAAAAGCAGAATGAGAGGTGTTGAGCAGACTGTTTGCTGCAACGTTAGAGGAACTCCGAAGATGGATGTTCTGTGTGTCTGTCTGACCAGCAAGCGTTATGAAGCGAACGGAGTTCAGTAATCTGCGCTCATATCTCGTATTTCGATCTCCAAAGATGGGAATGCACTTCATGACCGAACCTTTGCTTTTCGTTCAATGTTTACCAAGAAAATCTCGAGAAACACGGATAATGGAGGGGTGTGTGTGACCGATGACAATACTTTTTTTGGAAGGTCCCCTCTTTCTTTTATGAAAATCAGATCCAATCTATATTCAGCCACCACAGTTTTGCCAGAAATAGAAGGATGATGGGAAATTTCCCAAAATTCCGAAGATATTTGCAAAAATCCTGACTCAAAAAGAAATCATCGCTATCGATTCTATAGCTCCCAACTGAAGCCACTGAATCGAGGTTCTGTAGCCCTGATTCAGGGTTCTCTGGCATGCGGGCACTTTCATCTTCGTTAGAGTGAAAGTGCAAAAAACAGCTGGAAAACCTAATTAAATCACGAAACTGGGTCTTTCGTTCGTTTGCCGACCAATAGAGGCTTCTCCAATTGAAAACGAATCTGTCCACCGAACTCAATTGCCTTGTACCAATACTCGTGCTACGAACTCATCAAATTAGTCGTTTATCCGGATTTGATGTCCATTTTTATGAGGTTTTTGTGGTCTTTGTAGTTTTCGATCCCAATTCAGACTCAATCGACGATTTAGGACTTTTAGGACTGGTTAGTGGTGCAGAGAAACTGCGATACAAAGAAATATACTCGCTCTAGTCATGCTTTGTCCCAGTTGCCCGTCTTCCTCACTGCAGTAAGCGATACTCTGGTTGTGTTTGAAATATAGAAGGGAGAGTGATCAGAACTTGTTCAAAAAGGAAAGAAAAATGAGAGGAAGAAGAAAAGAAACAGATGGAGTGAAGAGGAGTAACTCAAGTGAAGAAATTCTGAAGGGAAAAAATTGGTCACGGCATTGTAGCAGAACGATCTTCTAAAGTTTTCCTCTCCCATTCTTCATGGGGAAGGATACGTTCTCCAGGCGGCTTAGCTTCTGAAGAGAATGGGGAAGTTGCCCAACTCTTTTCACAGCCTCTTATTTCTGTTCTTTATTGACAATGCCACTCCTACTCGCTTGAAAATCTTCGTGAGGGTGTTGTAATAATGATTCAAATCGAATACTATTCAGATTTTTATTGCAGCGCTCCCTCCTGAGCTGCCCTATCCAACGTGGTAACGACTGCATCCGTCGGAACCTCAAATGAGCACTAATATGACTGCCAGCATGATGGTCATAGGTACTCCTTGACGTGAATGAAAGGAATTGTATGGCCTGTGTCTTTCGAGCGAGAACAATCCACTTGACTACTCTGGCTCGCGACAGAGGCGAATCGGGACCTACTCTCAAACAAAGTAATCGATAATCAGCGAGACGACAGGGGTGATACAGTATTCGAGTGTTGAATCGTTGTATGTAGGCGTTGGCAAATTTATTCGTAAACACAACGCAACTTCTACATGTAAATTATAATACTTTGCGCAAGACTTAAAATGATAATTGCCGCACATCAGTAATCAGTATCTGGTACGAGATCTTCGTCCTCGGCTGACCACAGATTGTTGCGGTCTGGTCATTGTCTCACGGGTTGGTGTTGCTGGTGCATTACTGGCTGCTGCAGCAGCCTGTGAAGCAGCAGCTATCTGCAAATAAATCAACAATAACAAATAAAGCATAGCCGATGGTGTTCAAGAATTCCGTTTCTGGAATGCGACCCGCATTCGTCCGCCATCCAAAATCGCGGTGGCGTTTGAATGCGTACATGGCCCGGACAAAGACCTGCGGTGGCCAGTTGATGTACAAATACTTCAGTAGTTCTATCCTCCCAGAAGGATTGTCATCACTGAATCGACTCCGATGGGAAGGAAGGCTTTGTTTGTCACCGTGTGGGTATGGAGGTGGGTTATCATCCCCCAAGTGCCGAGTTGAAAGAAAAAGAAAAGATAAAACCCTGACACATACTGCCGGCAGCCGTTGGTGAGTGATTACCGGAGAACAGCTCTCAAACTAGGCCGCAGGCGCTATGTGTCAGCGAGATCTTTTCTCGTTCTGCTGACTATGCGCACTTAAAGCTATTCCAATGAACATTCCCAAATGTTCCCTTCACCATTAGTGTCGGCAGCATGCGTAGGGTGCTACTATGTTACCATACGCATTACCGGTTTTGGAGTTTTCTTTCGAGATCTTCCCCTCAGCACCTTTCCCAGGAACCTTCTGTCACCACTGCCAGTACCGGTTCCGGTTCCGGTTGATTCGTCACTGTTGTCGGTTTTTTCTGTGGAACGTGGTGGTCGATTGGATGTTTCGGCAGCCACTCTGGCCGCTTGAATCTGAGAATTCGAAACGCTTTGCATTCAGTTAGATCTCATTGCCAACGGCTCCGCTTCACTTATTACCTGGATGTACGAAGTAGCCATGGACAGGCTTTTTCCCACTTAATTCGCAATAGAATAGGGTCGTATTGGGGTACAGGCGTGGTTTCTATTGTGCACGACCAGTAGCTGTGGCCCTTTCCTTGCCCCCACGGCCCACCCTTCAGAGAACCCAGGTTCGGACCTGACGCATTACCTAACAGTAAACGTCGCGTTGCCCATGGGTTGGAATCGGATGAACCGTAGTAGCATGCTGAACCCTTCGTTCTGCACAGGACTTAACTTCTCATCTTGTTCAGTAACAGAAGTCCATTGAGGGATGAACACTTTTCGGTTTTTCTTTTCTTTTGGCCTACGGTACCCCATTTTCAGGCAATCTCAGTTTTCTCCAATTTTCACACCGTGCTGTCACATCGGTTCAGCGTCATCGTGAAATGAATGACTTCAATTTGAACTGTCTTAGGAGGACGATAGAATCGCCTGCGTATGACGCTGGCATTCTTTTTTAGGTGTCTCGCTTTCGTCTAGATCCATCTACTTTTTTCTACAAAATCTCCTCCACACAGGATTCTTTAGACGTCTAGACGGTGCAAAACCGAGCTCACCTATTGAGGATAATTTGAATCCTCGAAATATTTTCCCTGTCGAAAATGATGATTTGGAAGTCACAGGCCTTAATTTGCCGTCTAGACTCTAATTGATTCCCGTGAAAAAAGTCCCGATCAATCTGATGAGCCTGTCGTCGAGTTACCAATTGGGAACATAGGTAAAGCAATGAGATCGACGAGGGGATATTTTACGACCATTCTGTGTAATTGAAGGCCTGCGTAACAAAAATACTTCCACTTTTTTTCATTTTCCCAGGCCCTTTGTAGCATTTCGTGTGGAACCATCGGTGTGGGCATTTCCCACTTTGTTCGTATTTCCGAGGCGTGCTTATAGAGGCTGTTGTATGGTACTCATGAGGACACCCAGACCCGATTAAACACAAACTTGTATTTCGAATAAGTAATTGGACACTCACAGCTGCAAAATCGGGTCGTGGAATTTGTAGAATACGCTGAAGATGTTTTGAAATCTCTGGCATCGTATAGCGATCATTCGGGTTTTCTGACCAGCACCGAACCTAAACGACTTCTTTCAGTAGCTGCTACTACTATGTAGTACTTCTGTAAAATCTGGATGATTTGAGTTGAGTCCAAGGACGATTTGGCACACCGGGAACGCCCCCCCCCCCCTTCTCCCCGGTCCCACACAGCCATCCATTTCCTCTTCTCATCTCTGTGATTTGTAATTGGTAGAGTGGGAAGAGTAAGTTATTTGGTATACTCCCTGGTTGTCGGACTTGAATATTCATTTATATTGTTATTAATATTTATTGTTTGTTTATTTTCTACCGTCCCACCAACTGTGACAGTTTGGTAGGGTGTAGGATGTAGGATAGATGTGGGATACCCACTTTAATGATTGTCTGAACATCGGGTGGAACAAAGAATGGCAATGGCATGCGGTAACCTTCTTTCACCTGAAAATCACAGGAGAGATATTGATGTGTGATAAGTAACGGTGAAAATGAATGGGACCGACGTTTTGGTTAACTTCTGCAACTGTCATGCCTGGGTAAGGTTCAATACCATTGTTATATATTTCCCAGCACATTATACCTGGACAAATACATTATCATATACAGCCTCTCCAATGTACGACCAGTATGAATACTTACCATAACTGAACACATCGGTTTTCTGAGTATAAATGGCCATTTTAAGAGTTTCGGGAGCGAGCCAGCGTATTGGTACTCGCTTATGCGGATCCATCTGATACACTGTACCTTCTCGAGTCAAACCAAAATCGGAAATTTTAACCTGCAATTACGGATATCAGCTTTCCCTTTAGGACCTGGTGGGTAGAGATGGTTGTTTCAAAGTCTCCTAATCTGGCATGTCTCTTCCAATATGCGTGATCCTCTTCCCACAAAGTTGGAGTCCCAGATCGAGAGGGACAAAATGATGATAGGACTAGGTGCCGAGATCGTCGTTAAGGATCTGATAAATATAGGAAATANCCACCTTGTTATCACCATAGAGACAGTTCCTTGCAGCAATATCTCTGTGTAAAACGTTCTTGCTGTGAAGATATTCTAGACCCCAAGCTGCCTAAATGAAACTCGTGTTCAGGAGGATATGCCAACATGAACAGGTGTTACGATAGTGCCCACAACTTCAACGTTTGCTTGTGAAGTAATAGCAGAAACAGGTATCCCGAACCTGCAGAATCATCTCATTCTTCTTTTCGACTGGTTGTTCCTGTTTCTGAAGGTATGAGTCTAGAGCTCCGCAGTTGACCTGTAATGCTTTCATCATATAGAGAAGTGGATGGAATATGATTGGGTGCATTCAGACTCCATCGACTGCATTGTTTCTACCGACCGTCGGAGTTTCTGCCACCTTTTTGACAACGTAGGATAGATTGCGTTCAGGGCCGCAGGAGTCGGGACAGCGCGTAATCCATCCGTGTCTTGCGTTGTCAACATGTGGCTAACAACGCCGTCGGTTGGTCGGTCGGTGGAAACAATGCAGCTCGGTGGAGTCTGGATGCGCCCGTTGAACCGAGATCGGGAGTACCCGAGTCGCTGTCAAACTAGCCGATAAGAGGCATGGTTTTGGGTGAAGGTATACAGCCTGGGAACCTAGGGGTGAGGATAAGAACTAGCCCCGAATAGTTCCTCATAATGCCGTCTAGCCTAGTAGCAATGGATTTATGTTGTTCTGACTCTAGTTCCTGAAAAGTTACGGCTTGATCGACGTGATTTTATTGTCAACAAGGCTTCCATCTCTTTCGAATCCGGTAATTGATACCAAACTCCTCTGGGAGGATAAGCGTGCCGAATTGTATATCGGCTGGACACCGCAACCCGTTGCATGGGGCACGCACACGTTTGAAAACGCCACTGCGATTCCGAATAGAAGTCGAAAAAGGGGCTGCATATAGGCTTTACTGGGTAGTAAGCCGAGGTAGCAGCTGTACGCATTGTGAGCGTTTTTCACTCTTCGTTGAGCTACTCATAGGCTCTCTCGGCTTCCTATATCTTGTTCAATGGTTGTTCGACCTTGACACGCTTATAGACATCCTGTGGGGCTTTGTTCTTTATTCCTAACAGGCTCATCTGTTCTCATTCCGTGCTATTCGTCGCTTCTGTGTTAGTAGTAGATTGCTCCAAAATTCAGCTCCCATGCGCATTTGTTCAACGAATTTCTACATTTTGAAGTTGACCCTATTAGAACAGTTGGACGAGTTGTGTTGGGCATATGATTTTAACTACCCGGATGTCCGGGGTGACAGCCTTTCTTCTGTTCTCTTTGATCCTACAAACCAATGCTGTGTGCAGTGCAATCTTCATGAGGATGGAAGTAATTAGAACACCCATTAGCATTTGTTGAAGTGANTTCATCCCTTCGAGGTCGATCAATCGGTACTCGACCCACATGGGAAGTGAAAGGCTCTGACATAAACACTGACTGGCAACTACAATTCATTGTATAGGCCATGCCGCATTCGAAATGCCACTATGACTCTGAGTGAAAGACAAATGTGGGGCACATTCCAAAAATCGGTTGATTATAGTAGCAGACTTTACCTTCCATGCTTAATATCTGATATACAAGTATAGTCTACTTACCAATTCCATAAGAACCATGAGTGGCTCTTGCCCAGCAGCCACACCATAGAATTTAACAACATTTGGATGATCAAAGTTTCTCATTAGACGGGCTTCATGCATGATTTCTTTAATCTGTTCCTTCGTTAATACTTCAAGTTTCGCCTGTATGTGTGATTTTGCCATTCATTTGAGAAATTTTTCTATTTTAAAGTCTAGATGGGCACTTACCAATTTAACTGCTACATCTACTTTCCTTCCATTTCGTAGCTTTAATTTGCCCATATGGACTTCACCGAATGCACCTTCACCTAAACGATGAACTCGTTAACATTCAGAAGCATCATCGTCGTTATCACCATCAGGAAGGTGGTGTAGTGGCATGTGACGGACTATCACACGCGTAGCAAGGGGATCGAACCAATACCCAATGCTTAAACTCGCCCAGGCCAACCAGACTTTCCATGGCCAGCCAAATGATACCTAACTCTTCGGGAAGGACAATGCCTAGACGGAGACGTTAGCTTTCAATCTTTAATGTTCTCCGACGGTCTTGAACGTAACCCTGCCCATAGTCATTTTCAGGTCTCCATACTAAGGCCAGAACAGAAGAAAAACCAAGCCAATTACCTAATTTCTTTGTTAGTTCCACATCTTCATGTGAGTGTTCCCAGTTTTGTCGCAATATCGGAGTTCGGAGAATGACCTCGTTCGCCTGAAATAAACTCAGGGTAGTGGCAACCTGAGTACGGAACCAGTTATTGGTTAGCAACAAGAGAGAGCATGGGGCTCGGAACTAGTAATTATGCTTTGAAAGAAAAACCGATATGAATGCCGAGTTCCATGCAACGCTCTGTACACTTACTCTCGAAATCGATTCCTTTTTGTGCAAATGGTGTTCGATCATTTGAGATACGGAATCAAAAGCATATTTCTCTATTGAAAATTTTCCGTTGGGTAAATTTGTGATGACGAAATGCTTTATCTGAAAAGGCCTTATATATACAGTATCGACACCTTCCTGCCTGCCATATGCCTCATTGTCAGATACATGGACTCTTTCTAAGCAGTATGGGTATGCAGTCAAAGAAATTCAACGTGCTGTCGAAAGGAGTTGTCCTATTCATGCGAAAGCAGGGAAAAACCCGGATTCCGAGCTTCAACAACGAACGAAGATCAGGGATGCCGCGGTGCCGGGACCTCTCCCCGAATTCCCACGGCAAGCGGCAAAGTCACGCGGCGGCTACCCTACCCTTGCACTGGCAGTTCAAACCTTTCCCTTCTAAGCGCCCGACTGAGCACGATCGTGTACGGCGAACGCGACCCCGGTTTCGAGGAGAGGATACCGGATCCGGGATGCCGTAGCTTATGCCCAGAAGACCAGGTGGGCACCTTATGCGACATCGTGATAACCGTAGGATTAGGGCGGCTGGTGAATGATTCCTCAGGACGCCCAATGAACCCTGGCCTCCAACGGGATGCCTAGACTCCTTCACGAAAGCTCTGAACGAAAGAAATGCTGTGCCTCGTGTTCCTCTAGCGAGGACGATCCACTGGACCACACTACCTAGTGACAGAGCTGCGTGGAGACGTTACTGGTACCCGCTCGAGCAAACTAGCAATCATCGGAATGGCGGGTGATGCAGGTGATATTTACAGTTAATCTGTAAGGACGAGCAGAGTAACTTGTCGATTCTTCTGCCTGCCACCAGCATCAAGCATGGTGTCGAGGGAAGAGTAGCTCATCAACATGAACCATCTTTCGAAAAGGTTTCGATCCTGCTGACGTGCAGCTCTAAGGATCAACTTACGCACGCCTATAATCGCTTGCCGGAAGTACCTTTTTGAAGGATGGCTACATGTCACGACTACACTTAATTTGAGTCATTTAGCCCTGGGGATGGAAGAAAAGTCGTGCATGTTTTCCTCCAAGTAAGCGAAACTGATTCAAAGAGGAGAATTTCGAATGTCCAGTGCTGGATAGATTAGGTATCTTGAGATGATAAGCAGAGGCCAACACTGAGGTGGAGAAGCGGGATGACAGTGAGAGGGTTCGTGGAACTCGATTGAAACGAGAGGGTGTGTTCGTGAACTGGCCAAGGTGAAAAGAATCCAGCTGATACGTGACATGTAAACTTGTTTTATGGTGGCATACTGATTTATTGGAATAAGTGGTTGAAAGAAGCGCTTTAACTTCGATGAAGACGAGAGCGTCTAAGAAACAGAAGTGATCGGAGGCAGGGTATTATCAAATCTACTTCATTTGCGAAGGTAATCCCATAAGAGCGGTTATCACACGATTCGCTCTGTTCCATGATAACAGTAGATACGTTCTGTCTGATACGTATGCATGATTTTGAATCATATCCATCCCGCACGGGCGATGGTGGTTCAGTGGCAAAGACGACCACTACCCACAGACATGGTTTGGAGATCGAGAGAGCTCTGAGAGAATTAAAACACCGCCTTGTTCATCGTCTGGTCACTGTAAGACTTTGTATAGGCCACTAAAATCCTAAAAGGAGGTGAAAAGGTGCGCTCATCCAGAATCAACCCCTCATGCTCCTCAATCAGATCTGCATGATTTTTAGGAGTAATCTCACAAGAGCGGTCGTAACCCTGTTACTGAGCCACTATCATTATCCAAATGTGATAAGCGGTTAGTCGGTTAGGAAGTTTTGAAGGCACTCTGATGTCGGGAATAAGGATGAGGCTTGGTTTGAGACCAGAACAGCTTCTTCTTGCTATCCAGAGTCCAGAGAGTCCAGCTTGTGGCAGCGGAAGGCATGCTTTTGTACATTTAGAGTGCTTTCTTTGTTTTCAGAACGAATGTATCATCTTACTCCTTGATCTTCCAATTCCTGCCGAAACATCACCGAAAGCACAAATGCTCTTGGTTGACCCGCTACTGGTTCAGTAGTTCGAACAAGGAAATCTCCATTATTGCGCAGCATCATCTGAAACACCACAATTCAGTACAGAAACACCTGATCGCAGTGCCCATACGAGGGGATGCGTATGGCCCATATACCTGGGCACAGACCAACGGACCTTGATGTCTTCTCGTGGGAGTAAGCCATGATACCATTGCTCTGATGCGAGTTGCCTATCTACCATGCTATAGAGGCAACCGTCGTCTGGTGATATTGAGCAGCCCTTTGAAATGAACAACCTCACTACAATGTCGTTTATATACGAGAGAGATCTATCCAAAAGGCTATTATTAAAGGATTGTTTTCTGTGATTTCCAGTCAAAGTTCTGTTATTAAAGCTTCAGACGAGTCACACTTCCTATGTAGTCCAATTGGATGGTGGTCGTACAGCTCACGACGTTTTCGTTAGATGCAGCTAGGGGCGTTACTGGGCTTGCACATTACACACTTGAACTCACCTTTGGTTGAAAAGGAAGTTATGTTTGGCCATCTATCACCTGTCGTCCTATGGCCATAGCGGTGGCGTCTCCTTTCGACCCCGTCGCTAGAGCCAGAGTAGTCCAGTAGACTTTCCTCGCTCGGGGAAACGACAAATTGTTCTCATTCAGAGCTTTCGTAGAAAGGGGTGACAACCATGATGGCGGCTGTCTTGTTATTCGTCTAGTGAGAGAGACCCACTTAGTAATCGCCCTGAACCAACCGTCACCACAAAGTCGCATAACTTTTTCGACCCACCCGGTCTTCGATTCTTCCCTCGAACAGATATCCTTTTAGACGCCGTGTAGGGGAAAGCACCGTCAGCCTGGAATACTCCACCCACTTTCCCTAGGCAGAGGGAGAGGGCGGTGTTGAATGTCATATATCCCTTTTGTTGAGTCTGTGGCTCTCACATATGCCATGTTGAATCTTGAAAGCCGTGGAAAGCCTGCATCGTTCACATTGTAGCAGATTCCTTGAAAATTCAAACACTTGATGATCCTGGTATGATCCAGAGATAGTATTCTGTGGCATTCTTGTATTCCTCCAACCCTTGTGAACTGCTACCATTCACCAATGAGTGGGATGAGTTGATTTGGTTGTTCTTTTCATGTTATGGGAGGCAGTCTCAATCCATTTAGGCATTTTTGGCTTACCGAAGCCAGTCGTACGCAATAGCACACATTCGATAGGTCGTCCAAATCCATGCCACTTTTGTCGCCACATTCTCGTCCAACCTCTATTTCTATCATTTTTTTAAAGCCCTAAATTTCTCGAGAAGTGCTAATTTTCCATGTCTTTGCAACTTTTGCACTATTTTCAGCCGTATTTTCTGTTATTTGACCTAAACCGTGTTCCCATGAATATACAGCAGTTAAGTGTGCCTTCCAGTCGAGCTTCTCATTCTTTACCAACTTGCAAACTATGCTAGGCTTTTCATGGGTAACGGAACTTCTCCCCTATCGCGGCATTCTCCCTTGCGGCATGCGGCAAATGTCAGTGCAATTACCGTACTCACCCCGCCTCCCGCCGATCGATA